GGAACTAACAGTCTTTTCTATGCTAAGCAGATGAAGAAAAAGGGAAAGATGTGGATATGTTGGGTATTGGCTGTGGGATTGATTATCTTGCTGGTTTGCTTTGTTTCAATTTTGACCACTTGATATATAGAATTACTTAGAAATTCTTTATGTCTATTTCATCTTATAATGAATGAGAAAATGGAGCTAGCTATGCATTTTTCTTCTCTTCATTTTACGTGTACTTTTTTATCCTTTGTCTGGAATCCTGGAATAACTGAAATCAATAATTATTACTAACAGATTTCAGTAATATAATTAACAACCCAAAAATTGAAATGGCTTTTAAGAATTCTCAAGGTTACTTGGATTTCAAATGTCATTTTTTGAAGAAAATAATTCTATTTGATAAGAAGCTACTCTAGGATGTTGGTTTAGTTAAGTGACACTTTCAGAAGATACTTTTCGTTTTTCTTCTTCAAGTGTTTTCTTGGGTTGGAAAGGCGAGTATGACTTCTAAATCCTACTTCATTGATGATTGTTCAAGAATTCACATATAATGGTAGGTGCAAATTCCATATCTAAAGGCAGGCTGTGGTCTGTAGTTTGAGCCGAAAGCAATTGGTTTAGTTGAACCCGATCGCTTCTAACTAATGGTAAGGTCAACTCCACTCGTTTAGTTTTCCTTAGGCTGTAGGAAACTTGCTGCTATAGAACTATTCAAGTTTCCACTAGTTGATTAGTCCCCTGAGTATAAAGCAATGTAACTCGATCGTTCCAGTTCAAGAATAGATGATAAAAGAAAGCAGGCAAGTTCAATGAAAACAATTGTTACAACCCTTGCTTCAAACGAATACACTTTAATTACGTGACAGAAATTCCCTTTCTTGGTTAGGACATTTCCTAAACAAATCTCAAATGTGCATGCCTCACTCATTTGTTGCATTATGAGGGATAAAAGCAAACTGTAAACGTGAAATGAAATCAATATGCAAATGAAGAAAGCGTTGTTAAATTAGCATTGTGGAAGATCCTTCGGTGGAGGCAGAATATTATGATCTGATCCTGGTCCATCTTCCACCACAAATGCTGTTTTAAGTCCCCAGCCAGTGTGCAACTCCAAATGACAGTGGAAAAACCAAACCCCTTCATTAAAAGAAAATTGCAACTACATGTCAGAAGGCATTAGGAAAGTTGAAACGATGACAACCTTAAACTTTGTAGAAAATTAGGTACCTGGATTATCAGCTCTGAACCGGATAGCAGTCCAACCACCAGTTGGAACACCTACAGTATTTCTCTCAGGAGGATCAATCAAGTTGTATTTTGCTGGATCTTTTTTGGGGTCAAAGTTTCCAATGCCAGTTCCAACGACAAAGAAGTTGTAACCATGGAGATGGAAAGGATGTGATTCTACAGTTAACAAGTTGGTATCTTGGATTACTAACTCAACAGTAGAATTGAAGACAATTTTACTAAGTCTTGTGCCTTGAGTTGTCTTGAGGTTGGCTGTAAGAGGAGCCCCCGTGTAATTGAAAGGAGTTGGTGGCTTGTCGGGAAAATCAGTAGTGTACACACCCTTAATATTGAAGTAATGAGCTTGAAGAAGTGCAGTTTGTGGCATGACAAAGGAGATGTTGTTTAGAGAAGCAGTTAACCGAGTTCCATTTAAACAAGTGGGACAAGCATTGATTCCTAGGCCAATGGTGTAGAAGAGATTTCGATCAACTTTTAGTGGAACATTTGCTGGATACTTTGGAGAATTTAGGCTCCTGAGCTTGTTGTCATAGCTCAATGCAAATTCTGTGTCATTAGGAGCAGGCAAGTCAGGAAGTTTGGGGATAACGGTTTCTGAGACGCCCTTGTATTGGAAAATAGCAGTGGCGGTCTTGTTGTCTACGGAGATTGGAGCATCCATAAAAGGCCTGGCGGCCATGAAATATCTTCCTGGAATTTGGTTGGCGCGGACCAAAACATTTGTTGTCTGTCCTGGTGCTATTAAAATGGCATTTGTGGAAAACGGTTTTGTGTAGACTGCATCGATTTCCACCACTGTTAAGGTATGATTTGCAACGCTAAAAAAGAGCTCATCATTGAGAGCAGCGTTGATAATTCTCAACAGGTAAGTCTTTCCTTTTTCAACTTCCATGGCGTAGGTATCTGAGAAAGAAAGAAATTGAACATGAAACAATAATATTCACAATAAAATTTTAGTAAAGTAAACGAAAAACCATATATAGCACATTGGAATCGAACAGACAATTTGATAGATTGAAGGCATTGTCAATCTCTTTATTCTTACATTTCTCAGAACATGGAAAAAGTGGCCCTGGCTTTCCATTGATTGTATGAGCATCAGACATATTAGGAGGCAAACCTAATGCATTTCCTTGATTCTCCACTTGTTCAACATCTGCATTCCACCATTCTCCTGCAGTATAATGAGCAGAAACAGCGCCACTTGATTCATGCTTTAGCAGAGGAAAACTTTGAAAATAAAGTGCATTTCAAGGCTTGAATATATTTACGATACGAAGACTCACCTAGCACAATTACTTCTTCCCTATCTGGTTGAGGGAAAGGGAAGGGAGTTCCTTGTTGTGGCAGTATCACAATTGCCCCATATACTGTTGCCCTTAGCCAAAGAATATGAGCATGCCACCACAAGGTACCTCTTTGTCCTGTTACATTGAAGTCATACACATAACTATTTCCTGTCTTGATAGGGCACTGAGTTATGTAAGCCGGTCCATCTGCCCAACCATTACGATATTGTTTCAATCCGTGCCTGCAAGTATATATGTTTGATTGAGAACCGGAAAATACTAGACAGACTTGGAAGGGTTTTTGAAAATTTGATGTGAATATAATATTCTCACCAGTGGATGGAAATATTATATTGTGCATGGTTTATAACATTGATTTGAACTCTATCTCCTTCTCTAATATAAATGGTTGGCCCTGGAAATCTCCCATTAACTGTTACTATTGGCTTTGCATGGCACAATCTGCTCACATTTGCCACTTGAATCTGCAAAACATAGAAAGTTGTCCATTATGAATAAAGCCTGACGTTGAGACGTAATATAGTTAAGTTACCAAAATATGCTCTCTCTAACAAATTAAACTTTTAGATGTGATGATCACACAATTAAACATGGTATCACTGTGTTTGACTCATGAAAATGAATCAGTGCACATGCGAGTAGGGGCGTGTTAAGACATAATATAATTAAGTAACTAAATTGTGTTCACTCTAACAACTTAAGTGTTTTTAGCTGAGATGGTCACACAATTCAACATGAGCTGACAAACAAGGAAAGAAGTTGTTTGATCGGAGACACTAACGTCGAATTGGTACTTCTTTATGGCAGCCTCAGCAGGTAGACAATTAAGCCAAAGAAATGCAAAGACAATGAAGCCTAGAAGTGGAAAGAAACTTGTTTGGTTTGCCATTGGCTAGAAACTCTAAAACAACTGCCTGAATGGATAATGCATTGGTGTAAGTAAGAAAGGCATGTTTTTATATAAGTGAAAATAGCAGAAAAGGCAAAGGCAATATGTGATTTTCAGTTTGTTGAAGGCAAAGGAGGTTGTAACAGAGATGTGTGTAGTACAAAACTTGTAAGCAAAATACTGAAAGAGACATTTTATAAGGCTAAGGTACTCTAAGCTATATAAGCAGAAAAAAGAGATGAGAGATATGTAAGACCAACCAAATCCCCAGTAGAGAATGAACTTTACCGTTAAGTCAAAGAAACGAAGTAATTTTGCCTAGTATGTAATTGTCTCGCTGCAAAGAGATTAGAGAATAAATAAGGAATATTTGTCCAACTCTACAGTTTTACTTTATGCAAATATTAGCTGTTTCTTTGTCACCTTTGCACTTGACTTGAGCATGAAAATATTCACAAGGCATTTTGATAATTAAGATAATCAGAAACTTTTAGTGAATCTTGGATCCGTTAACCGCTTATATATATTCTGACCCGAGTCAAACTTCATGTACTAGTTATGCAAAGACTGTTTATGCGGTGAATAATAATGTGAGAATTGTTGTACTGTGAATAATAATGTAGAATAATTCCTATGCGGAAGTTGCTTACTATAAAGGCTAGGCTTTTCTTTTTTTTAAATCTTTATTTACTGTTATCCAAATATATTGCTAACAGACTCCCACATAACTTTTACAGATATGCAGATTTTAATAAAGCCAACCAAATGTTGTATTAAGTAATTATGTTGTTGTACAACTAACCAAATGCTGTAAGTTTTATGTGAAATTTTATGTTGGGATTATTTTTGTTGATACGATAAAACAAACCAGCCTACAGTGTATAACAAGTTATGTAAAAGATGGATTGACTTGTAAGATTTTGTTGCTTTATATTCTCCTCTCTGAACTCTTAGACTTATACTTACTTAGGGAAACCTTAGATCTCACTTAATTTTCTTTTTTAAGGTATTCCTCTTGCAGAGTTGGACTGAACAAGAGTGCTATATATATATATTATCAACTTCAACTTCCACTGTGTTACATTACTGCAAAACAGTAGGAGTAATTTATCCATCAAATCGTGTTGACTTACTGTCACGATCCTAAAACGGATACGGTCGTGATGACACATATCGTGAACAGTGGCGGAGGCAGGATCTCCACGAAGGGGGTTCAAAAAAAAAATTTGTATCTAGTGGGAATTGAACTCATGACCTTATGTAGATTTTAAACCCCCTTGACCACTAAACTACACTTTTGAATTGTGTTAAGGGGGTTCAAAACTTAATATATAGAGGTAAAAAACAGATTTTGCCTTATATATACAGTGTATTTTTTCGGCGAAGGGGGTTCGGGTGAACCCCCTTGCGCCCCCCTAAATCCGCCCCTGATCGTGAAACTAGGCCAGCCGATACAAACCCCAAAACCAACCAAACAATTATAATAAGTCATTAATAAGCTAAAATCTCAAAATGTAACTTAAAGTAGATAATGCGGAAACAGAACACAACCCGACATCCGGGTGTCACCAGTCATGAGCAACTACAACTTGTCTAGAAATATGAAAAGACAACATAGTCTGAACAAAGTTAACACAAAGCGGAATAAAAATAGGAAGGAGAAGCATGAGCTCCGAACGCTAAGCAGCTACCTAGTTGACTCCGAAAGCGTGCTGTAAGACAAATCAGCACTCGCTTGCGTGACCCGAGACTCCTGGATCTGCACACAGGGTGCAGCGAGTAATGTGAGTACGCCAACTCAGTAAGTAATAAAAGTGAAGGCAACTGAGCAGTAAGAAAACACATAAACCACAGCATAACGCTACAACAAAATAGTATAAGTTCAGAACAATGCAGTAAAGCAGTAAAACACGTGAAAATATCTCAGTTCAGCAAAACCTTTTTAAACATCTTTCAATAGTTTCAAACGAGTGGTGAAAACAGTGAGAGAAAGAATAGAAAATTAAACAGCCCCTCGGGCAAAACATATACCACAACCGCCCCTCGGGCAAAATGTCAACAGAACCAGCCCCTCGAGCTACCACAATCACTCGTATCAGCCCCTCGGGCAATAACATGAAACACAACAGCCCCTCAGGCAATATCACATCTCACACTGGGTACCCATACTCACTGGGGGTGTTCAGACTCCGGAGGGGCTCCTACAGCCCAAGCGCTATAACAAGCCATCTCGTGGCATAATCAAACTGGCACTCGGCCTCATAACGAGCCACCTCGTGGCGTAACCAATCAGGCCATCGTCCTCATAATCATGAATCAGTACAACTTGTTGCGGCGCGTAGCTCGATCCCATAATATCCTCACAACACAGGTCATCGGCCTCACTCAATCAAAAATCTCTCAAGCCACTCGGGCAACAATTAAACATGATGTTCAGCCCACAATATCATTTAAAATGTCAAAATAGAGTAAATATGGTTGAGTTATGAAAACAGTAGAATACAACATGACTTAGTACAAATATGAAGTCAAAACAGTAAGGAATAGTAGTAAAAATCCCCTAAGGGTCCAAAATAGTTGGCACGAGGCCCAAATATGGCATTCAGCCCAAAACATGATACTCCCTCTATTCCAATTTATGTGAACTTGTTTGACTGGGCACAAAGTTTAAGAAAAAATGAAGACTTTTGGAATTTGTGGTCCTAAACAAGTCAAAAAGGGCCCAGGAGTATTTGTATGGTTATAAAAGTTTCTCATTAAGGTAGAATTGTAAGTTTAAGCTAAATTGTTTCCAAATTTAGAAAGGGGTCATTCTTTTTGGAACTGACCAAAAAGAAAATAGGTTCACATAAACTTAAACGGAGGGAGTGATACTTTCCAAGACACAATGATATCAAACAGTTTTCAATCAAATACGCGACTTAACAGTCATACGGGACAAACTAAGTCACAATCCCCAATGGTGCATGACCCCACGCTCGTCATCTAGGGTGTGCGTCACCTCAAAGTAGCACAACGATGTGAAATTTGGGGTTTCATACCCTAGCCCGCGATGCCTTAGACTCTCAACTCGGCCTCCGGATTCTCCAAATCTGACCAAAAACAGATTTATACCATGAAAATATGCTAAGGGAACAAAGCCCAATCGAAAACAACCAATTTACATAAAAAATCCCGAAATTGGCCAACCCGACTGTAACACCCTGTACATTTGACTTAGGTATAAATGAGTTAAAGGAGTAGTAAGGTTATATTTTTGACATGTGAAGTCCCATTGGGATGATTATGGGTGAAAATAGTTATTTCTAAATCAAGATGGAAAGTGAGGTGCATAAGATTTGACAAAATCGACTAAGTTTGCAGAAGGTTCATATTCCAGCAGGTTTTGGTAAACTTGTATAAGGAATTTGGGAAAACTCAAAGCATGAAAGTTGTAGGTCTTTGAAATATATTTCCAACGATATATTGTGGAGACCAAATGGAGCTATGTGAAAAAAGTTATGCCCGTTTTACAGAATGGTGCGTAACCACTGTGTTCGACCGCGTTTTACCGCGACCGCGGTCGTGAGGCAGTGTCCCAGCTGTTTACCGCAGTCGGGACCACGGTCACGCCTACTGGGACATGGTGGACGACTTGGGAAGTCATTTTTTAGCCTTATTTCGTCCCCCACTGCCCCAAAACATAAAAACTTGCTCTAGAAAGGAAAGCTCTCAAAAACTTAACTTCTTAAGGGTCCCTCCACCACCCAAGGTAAGTTCTAATGGTGATTCTAAGTTAATTTCAATTTCCCAACATCTTATTAATATGAGTAAACCCTCCATATCATTAGATATTCGATTGGGACACCATTGTTAAGAGGAGAAACCCTAGAACTCAAATTCAAGAAGATTAAACGTAAAAAAGGTAATATCTTCACCCTCTAATTGATTCTATCATTGAATTAATGATTATAGACTCTAGTTCATGAGATATAAGTTGGTGGATTTGATATAAAAGCATGAACGGTGATAGGTTTGGGTTGTTGATTGGTTATTATTGGTTATGGGTGTTGATTACCTTATGGGGGATAAAGAATAATGTTGATTATAACCATTTGAGACTAGAATTTATCTATAAACGAGAGAATGGGTTATTGGGTGTAGAGACACCATTAATAAGGATTATGAAGCTTTATGCCACCAAGTGTTTGAGAAAATGCCTAAGTGATCAAAACATGAGTATTATTACTAATATGGAATCCCTTTGACTTGTATTGATATAGATTGAAGTTGAAAGGGTTGACGAATGTTGTATTACGCTCAAGAGCAGGAAGTTAAGGTATGTGAGGCAAACTCTCTATATTTGGGAATGTTAATGATTCACCCTACACTACGTTTCTTTTACAACGTATCGATTGCCTCAGAAATATAATTAAGCCTAGTTCCTTGAATAGTTGTAGAACTTCTATTCTCTAGCTTCATAACTCGTTCATGAATTTCATTCTAATGTTGTGATCTCAGTGTGTATTCAATATAGACTTGGGTTTGATGCCCCCGAGTCTTAGTATAGATTACTTAGTATGCCATAAACAGTTGAAATTTCAGTGTTCATAATCATTTCAAGAATACATGTCTCAGTCTAGTCCTATTCAGTATTCCAGTATGATGTACCCAGTGTGATCCAGTATTCCAGTATTATGTTACTCAATGTGATTCTGTATTCCAGTATCATATAACTCAGTGTGATTCAGTACTTCACTATCATGTATTGCAGTATGATTCTCAGTTCTTAATTTTAAATCCCTGAATGTTGAACACTTGTATTTGGGCCTGATGCCATAGTTTATATGCTTTATGCATACTTGGGCTTGAGGCCGTAGTTTATGCTTTATGCATGTTTGGACCTGAGGCCATAGTTTATGCTTTATGCATTTTTTGGACTGAGACTGTAGTTATGTATACGTATACTTGGGCCTGAGGCCGTAGCTTGTGCACATATATATTGGGCCCCAGGCCGTAGCTTATTCAGATAAATAGGTTGTTCATCATTCAAAA